ATGCGGATTTGGAAGCCCAGGGGCTGGTCAGGGAGTGGAAGCGTCGACCCCATAACCTCCCGACTCAAGCGTTCCTGGGGGACGCACCGTGAAAGGGGGACTTGATGTTACAACCAGATCGCCCAGAATCTGACCACTAAACGTCCGACCGACGGGGGTGAACCAACAGGCGACACCCCACGATTCGGAGGGATTACCGCTCCGCCAACGAATCCGCATCCACACTCTGCATTTAACAATGTAAATTAACAATAAAAAAAGAGGGTAGTTACTCATCATGATTGTCAAATATAGGCCCAGACGAATTGTCGGTTGTTGACACTGCTCTAATTCCGTCCATCTTGGATTCCGACGGCATGCCTAAAGGACCTTTTGATATAGATCGTTCATGTAAGAACCTATATTTGCGACGGTTTGGTTCTGCAGTATGGGAAGGGAGGCGAAATTTAGAAGATCGGAGGTGCGGGTGCAAAGAATGCCAAGGACCCGAACTATAAAGGCGCGCTACGGATACATCACATGACACTCGGCGGCGACGGACAGGACATTGACAGCCTAGGGCCGCCGGGAGCGCTCAGCGCGGAGAGCCACCTTCTCGATGGTAGTACCAGTTCTTCCGACACTTCCATTCCGCGATCTCGCAGCTCGTTTTGGCGTAAGTATTCAAACCCAAGAGCAACAAAGTATCCACCAACAATTTAAAGCGGTGCTGGTGACCTGTGGCGGAGTTTAACTGAACCGTAATACTATGCGTCGAGCGAGAGCAGGTGAGGCAAAAGTCATGTGCCCATAATATTCACATCTTGACAATGATTGCACTCGGAGCCTTCTAATATTGCCAAACGCAACGGGACTTTCACTGTCAGAAATCTCCTACAGCGAAACATAATAGACCATCTCGTCAACTCTTCGGCAACATGATAACGCTTGAGCCTAAACCTTCTGCAGTAATGGATGTGTACACAAGATCATCACGCTGGGGCTTGACATATGACTGAATCTGGTGACCGCTCACGGCGAATCTCCCTTGCTTCTAGTGCCCTATTCCGAAGGCTGGCTATACAGATCTAGTGTAAATAGGTTCCGAGATAACCCTGAGAACAACTTTTGGTCACAATGACTGCACCAGAAAGCAGTCATTATCATCCGCACCGTATTGTACTTTCCACAAGGAGCAATTTTGCTGCACATCGTGCCGGATGTGCGGCACGGCGTATTGAGCTCAAGATTATGTCCGTCGGACGTCCGAGAGGAGTATATGGCTCTATCAAGCGAAAAGTATGTTTTCTCCCCACTAAAACCGTCTCTCCGTCCTGAACGACGATGGGTTCCGACTCAGGTAGTCTTAGCATTGAAGAGAAAGAGGCCGTTGTTACCAAAGTGTCCTCTCCTCAGAGTAAAGAAATTGCGGTGGAAGATGGTGATTTACTCTCCCCGGATGTGCGGCCTGCTGCAGAGAGACAACTGGTGCGCCACCTGGATCTCAGACTAATGCCAACGATCATCATCATTTTTATAATGAACTACATTGATGTGAGTGTGTATGTACGTTCGCGCCTGATTCCTCTTGATACGTTTGTGTTAGCGAAGTGCGGTCTCGTCTGCGCGTTTACAAGGTCTTCAACAGGATCTGAATTTGTCAGGTGAGAACAGCATTTCATTTGCCGCTTCTCCAGAACATTTATCCGTATTCAATGGACAGGAATACAATATTCTACCGTGCTTGCTGTCCTCTGTGCATCCTATGTTCCCGCTCAGATACCATCGAACATGGTGCGTCGTGTACTTACGGGATGCAAAGTGTCGTCTGATAACATGCACAGATTTTAAACAGAATATCTAGGTATTGTGTAGAAACAGGAGCTCTGAACCTTCACATTGATGACTATCGTGTAGGCCATCTTACTATATCCCAGCCTGTGTTGTGCTGTGGGGTCTCACTAGTGCGATGACAGGAGTGCGATCTTTTCTCTCGTTTCTAAGTATTGTTACGCTGACGTATCATGCAGGTCACCAAGAATTATACGGGGATTGTACTGTGCCGAATTTTCATTGGACTCCCAGAGGTGATAGATGTACGAAGATGTGCACCACCTCATACTAATAGGCGTATAGGCTGCATTCTACCCTGGCGCAATGTACTTGCTATCTCGGTGGTACACGCGGAAGGTGCGCGCGCGATCAATGACACGATATGATCACTTGATTAGTGAATTAATTTGCAGGAGCTCGCCTTTCGCTCTGCGGTAATATATGGTGGTTTACTGATTTCAAATGCGTTTGGAAATGTCCGTTTAGTCATTTCTATTTTCCTACTGGTGCTGGTGATGGATCTCACGCATTTACAGCTTATGGCGGCAGGAATCTTGTCTGGGATGCAGGGAAAGAGAGGAATAGCGGCCTGGAGATGGTAAGTATACTGCGTCATTTGTGCCTGGGTGACAACTGAATGATGCAACCTTAGGCTGTTTTTCATTGAAGTGTGCTCCTTGTCAGAAATTTATGACATATTATTGACGGTAACTACCCACAGGGATCTATATCGATCTTCATCGGCATCATTGCATGGTATGTATCGATTGAATGGCCAGAAACCTTCTGACCGGCTTGTTCCACACAGTTTCATCTTACCCGACTACGTATGTATTTAGCTCACTTGGCATTTGCACAACACGTTGATTGTATGAACACAGCCGCATAACACCCGTTGGTTGTCTCCTGCTCAGCTGAGATTAGCCCAAGTTCGGCTAGCAGAGGATGCTGGAGAAGCCGATGAAGATTCCGCTCAAGAATCGTATGTCTTTCCGTGATAGGGACAGCCATCTATCTGATTCATTATGTTTGCAGGGCGCTCGTGGGATTAAAGCTTGCTCTCCAGGACCCAAAGGTCTTGATCTTCTCTATCATGAACTGTTCTCAGCTTCTGGGGCTAGGTTTCATCAACTTCTTCCCGACGTAAGTCCGCCGATATCTTGTGCTGTACCCTTTTCTAAGCTAAAACAATATTAGCATTGCTGCTACGCTGGGATTCTCGACCACTGTGACGCTCTTGCTTTGCGCGTGGGTATTCTTTCTCAATTTCGAAGGGTTCCTTAATGACCGTGATCTCAGACCCCCATGGATCTTCTCAACGATCGTGTGCGCCGTGAATGCATGGAGTGCAGGTTTGTAGTATCAGCTTTCCAGATCGGTCTCTTCCGGGTGCTGATGCGACGGTGACTACAGATAGAACTGGAGAGCGGTTCTTCCACCACTGTTGGCCATGGTGGGGCGTCCTTGTCGGGTACATCATTGGTGTCTCAACAATGTCAGTCGGGGGTCGCTATTTTTCCATGTTCCTTATGGCAGCAGGATATTCAGGTACTTTGTATGCGCTACTTTCACTAATGTATCCTCAACCATGGCGCTTTAGGTTTCGCGTTAACGGCGGTGTGGGTAGCTAATGCTATACCGCGACCACCTGCTAAACGGTCCGCGGCGATCGGCATTGTGAACGGAATCGGCAACATAGGGAACTTGTACGCTGCTATCGTATTTCGAGTCTTTCGTTGCCGCTCACTGTTGTATTAGAATCAGTTCATATACTTGGAAATCACAGTGGGGGCCAAACTATCATCCTTCCATGTACATTGGGATAGCCTCTCTCGCTTTGAGCACAGTACTCGCCTTCGGTAAGATATACCGCGCTACAGGGATATTGTCTTAAACACTCGATTGTGTAGTGATCCGTTGCATGCTCGTATACGAGAACAAGAAGCTGGAACGCGACGAATCTGAAGACTTGAAGGGCGCAAGGCGCGAGCGCATCGAAGAGGCTGCTAGGCTGGAAGGACTCGCATTTGAGCAGGCGTTGGAGCGCAAGAGAGGGTTTAGGTATCTCTATTAATGCGCTCACCATGGTGTGCCCGTAGCTCCATATTAGCGCCGTTCGATGCACTACTCCCTGGCTGACGTCAGAAGGGAAGGCGCCGTGTAAGACTGTTGATGAATATATACAGTTTGCTGAGCGATACAAAATCGAACACTTCGGGTACAGCAAACGGCTTTATATCACTGCCTCTAGGTAATTTGGGCCGTGGGCATGAGTTGTGCTGAATCAGCCGGAAGCGGCTTCGCGTATGGATTGGAGATTTTTGAGGTCGAAATAGATATGAAAGTGAGTTATTCAAAATCAACCAAGATCCGCCGTGCCCTCACTGTTCTTTGTCCGAATGAAATGTTTACCCGTAACCTCAGGTCGAAGAGTCAGACTGAGTCTTCTATCATCTTCAAGTCAGTGTGGTGACGTCAAATATGCACATCCTTGAGCATTTTCCGGTCGACAGCATGCACGCATGTAGTCTTTATATAAAACGACTGACTATCCGTACTGTTTCCAGTGACACATTCAACATCTGCCAATTTTGAACGGCATCCCGAAGAACGTGTCTCTTCGTATCAACGGAGTCAAGAAGCCCACTCGAGTTTGAATGGCTCTGTAACACGTCACAGTTACACTTATTATCTGTCCCCGTCCTACTCTAAATTGCACTCGGGGTTCTCCTTGCTGTCGGCGTTGTAGCTATCAATTGTTTGGACGAGACTCCGCTAGGTCCGATTGCGGAAAACTGGGCGCCTAGGTCACGACGACAGAGTACATACATATATTCACTTCGCTTGTCATGGCTGAACGTGATCCCTCACAAAGACGAGCGTGAACGAGATTACGAACCGTTGACAGGGAATCCAAGTGACGTCGAGGTTTCAAGTACCTCAATCCGCGACCCGCGACTCGGCACCAAATTGTATTGCAGCGCACAAAGCCACGAATGATCAATATAAGAGAGTAAGTTGAACTCGGGTCTACCCAAGGTCTATCATCTACCGCAATTGCAATAGCCGCCGTATGACGATGTGCCGTTTGGGTGAGTGAGGCTCTCCAATATTTAGATCTTCGCGATGTTTACTTAATCATAGATTTCTAACATACGGATCGCACAACTTAATTTATCTCTTCACTTTAAGAAGTTGTCGAAGCCAATACACACAAGTTCAAGAAAATTTCTTGGCGCTAAGCCGCTCGGATTGTATGACGTGGCTTGAGAGCGAACGGTCGCTTAAGGTACCCAGCGCAGAACGCATGGTGTAGTTTGAATGTCCGTTTGACCTCGGGTTGTTCCATCGACTTCTCATCAACAGATGCTCGCATCGGAGGGCTTCTGTGACCTATTGGGTGTGGGACATATATTGCACCATGTTATCTTGTTCATGACTCCATCGTCCCTCGTTCGAATCCACAACACACGATGCAGCTCGAGCGGGTTTTGATATGCGGTGAGTGCTTTTGTATAGTTTCCATTTTTCCAGGTTGATGTATCGTTGCCAACCATGCTGGTAGGCTCTTTGGGGTTTTCGTCACTAGAGTGTATCGCTATGTTTAGCGGCATCGCTGAGATAATCGTAAGCCATTGTGTTCAATGAAACGCGGAAGGTACTAAAATTATCGTAGTTTCTGGACTGCTCTAGTCGACAAGAGCTACTCATGGCACTTCAATCGGGAAAGGAATATGATGGCATCTGCGGTATAGTCAGGCACTGGAATGCGGCAAGTATTACCGGCCCATTCGATGAAGAATTCATCGAGAGTCTGCCTCGGTCCGTAAAATACATCTCAAGTATGAATTCCGGCTATGATATGATTGACATACAAGCATGCAAGCGCAGAGGTCGGTCTATGCCTGCGTCCTCACGTAGCTCTTCCGGTTCTAAGGCGTTGTTGTTGTGCAGATATACTAGTTTCAAACACACCCGGGGTCGGCGACGACGCAACGGCGACAGTTGCCCTCTATCTCATCATTTCTACGCTGCGGAGGCTCTCCGAGGGCGAGCGGAGCGTCCATTCGGGGCTCTGGCGGCCCCCTAACATTACTCACAATGCGCATGATCTCACAGGACGCACGCTGGCCATCATCGGGCTGGGTGGGATAGGCATGCGCCTCGCCGAGCTTGCACATGCCTTTCCCATGCGGGTTCTATACCACAATCGCCACAGAGCGGCGCGCGCCCCAAAGTACTGCGAATTTTTTGACGCAGCACATATAGATGAGATGCTCGCAATGGCCGATGTGCTCAGTATCCATGTCCCCCTGGATGATCATACAGAGGGACTTATCGATGAGAAAATGATTCGGAAACTAAAGACAGGTGCTGTTGTGATCAACACATCGCGCGGGAGGGTTATTGATGAGGCGGCGATGATCAGAGCACTAGAGGATGGACATGTGAATTGTTCCCCTCAGCTTATTTTCTGCGATATTAAATGGCTGACCTTTGGTCACAGCTATCTGCTGTCGGCTTAGACGTTTATCCCGATGAACCGAAAGTCAATCCACGTCTTTTAGATTTCTCCAACGCTACGCTGCTTCCCCACCTTGGTGGTGTCTCTGCGGAAACACAAATGCAACAGGAGAGTCAAGCTCTATCCAATCTGAAGGAATTCTTAAGTACAGGGACAGCGCGCGATCTTCTACCAGAGTTACGTTAGTACATCCCACAAGTATTTTATGATAGACGAGTAGTATTCAAGTAGTCTAAGACATGTAGTTGTATACGTATACTAGCCAGATAATGGACTAGGCTGTGTCAGACACTTTGCAACGAACGCGAGCTTGTTTTCGCCTGCGCAGTCTCACCGTAACTTGGGTAAGTAGATCATTAATCATACTAGTGTCTTCAAGATACTCTGAAACGACCGCAAGCTTATCTCGTTGCGCTCTCACCGCAAATTGAGTAAGTATGTTATTAAACATGTTCTATGATACGATATAGCAACGATACAGCTCATAAAATCATCCTAGCGTAGTCAAGTCATAGCCAAAGATCATAAGACGACTCATATTGGCTCCTAAGAGCGCAGTTCTGGAACGACATCTGGCGCAGTCCCGGTACATAAAAATTCTCGGAGGTTCATCAATGCGTGAAGTTCTTGCAGCTTCTGTACTTCAAATGATACTCCACCTAAATGGGGGAGCAGTGTGGCGTTGGGGAATTCCAGGAGCCGTGGGTTAACGTGCGGCTCATCTGGATACACGTCCAGACCAACTGCGGATAGCTGTGGGTCGAAAGTTCAGTCAACAATCTGCGTAGTGTCTGAGAAACCATGAACAATTCGACACACCTGTCCTTCTTCCAGCGCTTTGATCATCGCGGATTCGTCTATGACCCTACCGCGTGCTGTGTTGATGAGCACTGCGCCTCTTTTCAGCTTTGCAATCATCTGCCAGTCCACCAGTCTCTCTGTGTGTTTGTTCAGTGGCACATGAACGCTGAGAACGTCCGCATTGGCGAGCATCTCGTCAAGATGCTCGGCATCAAAATATTCGCAGTATTCGGGAGCCTGGGGGAGTTTGTGGCGATTGTGATAAACAACGTGCATCGGAAATGCATGCGCGAATTCGGCAAAACGCAGTCCTATTCCGCCGAGACCGATAATGGCGAGCGTGTGTCCTTCAAGATCGTGCGCCCTCTTAGCAACACTTGGTGGCCTCCAGAGCCCGGAGCGAATATTTAATTCTCCCTCCGTGAAGCAGCGGAGACTTGAGATCATCAGATAGAGGGCTGTCGTTGCCGTTGCCGCATCCCCTACTCCAGGAGTGTTAGAAACCAGTATGCCTGCACAAAAGAGGGCCGTTAGCATGCGCCGATAGACAATCGTGTACTACATGAACGAACCTCTCTCCTTGCACGCATCTATGTCAATCATCTCGTAGCCTGCACACAGGCTTGCGATGTACTTCACACTGGAAGGTAGACATTCAATAAACTCCTTGTCGAATGGCCCAGTTATATCAAATGCATTCCAGTGTCTTATGATTCCAGAAATCCCGTCGTAGTCATGGCCCGGTTGGAATTCAGTGAGAAGTTCCTCTCGGCTAGAACAATCCATAAACTAGCACCGTCGTTTATCAATGTCTTATCATGAGTACTTCACGAGGCATACGTACGATGACTTCGGCAGTGCCATTGAATATTGACTTACATTCTTGGAGTGCAAAGTCAAGAGAACCTGTTTTCGGCGATGAAATTGTGCGATGCATCAGGAGTGGCAATAGGTTATGCTGATAGATCTTTGGACTTACCACAAATGAGGACGCGGGGGAGTTGCATGGTGAATTGTACGGTTGAGGTTGAGGTGTGTGTTATGTGAGTGACAGTAATTAGAGCGACAACAGTAACAGTAGGAGAACTAAAGTAGAAGGGTGTGAGGTGGGTAGGATTGTGATGTTGATATAATCCGAGGGGGTCGGCGACGTCTAATATATATCAGGCCCTCGGCCAGGCGGCCACTGCCGTATGCCGATATCAGCATCCTTGACAAGAAGACATCCAGTGAAGGTATCGCATTTGAAAATGAGTGGCATCGTCGTCCGAGCGGATAGAAGCAACAAATGGATGTGATCCATTTGGCTAACCTCAGTCCTGCAATCTGCAATGTGAGCAAATGTGAGCAACCCGGACCTTTGGATAGATTCTCAAGCCCACCGGTCAACAACATAGGAGCGTAATTGTACAATCTTACGAACCAGTATATGATGAAACTTCATTGCAGCTTCGCCCACACGTGGCTCGACGAACGACATGTATCGAATCACATCAACGCGTTCGCTGACGTCCTAGCGGTTCAAGTAATCAATAATGGACGGATAGGGAAAGCGTGAATGTTAACGACTGATAGGTCGCCCCTGCAGCGTCACTGCGTGCATCTCCGAGAACGAGTGATGTATGTCAAGAGACAACATCATAATTGTCTACTCTCTTACGGCTGTCTCCATCGCCACGTACTAATTGCCACTTCGACATTCTGTAACAGAATGCGAAAAAAGCTCGCGAATTCTAGAATTTTACCAGCGCCTCTAGCCCAGCGACACAATGTGGCACTACACACCTTCGCACTTGTTGTAAACTTGCGAAGTCCTCGGCAAGTTTGTCACAACGTCCTCGACACGGGACCACCGGACCGACACCAGACCAGCCTAGCCTTAAGCATGAATATGAGCCAAAGAGTACCGATAGGCTCGAGACCTTTAATTTGGTGAATCCAGCCTTCAAGCGTATAATACCACCCGTTATGTCGTTGATGCCTCCAAGGCGTCTTAGGAAACATAGATAAATGAAATCATCCGTTTGAGCATCACGTCATGCTATCGTCTGCAAATCGAGAGCTAAGCTCGAGTCCAGGTCGAAAAGTTCCGAATCCTGAGCGCCTCTGCCGAATAGAAGCTCAGAGCGGTAATCATCATCATGGGCCAGTGTCGAGAGTGAACCTTGAGCGCGCGGAAATATGAAACTCAGCAGGTTTGGCACACCGATGCCCTGTCAATTTATGCCAACCCACCGAAGGTCAAACTTCGAGTGTATGTAAGAGCGTGTACTCCTCCCCGAGGAAGCACTGATACCACCTAACCAGGCTATCGTGCACGTATAATGTTATTAAAGGAGCGCTCTCATAATCTGACTTAGACAAGACTTACTCTGGTCCGTAATATGTTTTCCAATTTCTGGTTTCCTGCTAGGAACCGCTCCGCAGTATCCTAAGCTATGCTCCACGTCAGCGCGCTTGGGCAACATTGATGACTTACATCAGACATTTCATGCCTGGAATCTGCATGAAATTGTGACCCAGCCTATCGGAGCCCGAATGTCCCTGTCAAGCGAACCGAGCATGCGCCTGCCATTTTTTCCCATGGACGTCGCACAAGCCAATGTCATCTGCGGTGCTAGCGGGCGCATGTAAGTCATTGATTATGATGCAATCCCAGGCAAATCTTACAATCCCAATCACCGAGGCTATTTAGGTTATTCCAGAATTTCGGGATAACCAGAAACAATGCGTTCTTCAACAATTCATAGAAGAGAGCGAGTCTGTTGCGAAGAGCGACAATAGCACCGGCATGGCGCACATGTTCGACCCATCATTACCGTTTCCTCCTTCGCCAAATGAAATGGGTGATGGGAGTGGTATTGTGTCAGCCTCGGCCCTCGCCCCGTCTAAATCTGGACCACACACACGCCGATGCCGTGAAGCGAGACCGCTCTGCGCAGGCTTCTGAAACAGTTTTCTGACCGCAGCAGAAGACAGAACCACATTGAGCCATCCAAGTGGCGCAATGCGTCCTAACAAGATGATCGTGGGCATGAGCACTGATGTCAGCGACCAGGCCTGAAGACCTACTCGCGGTCCTGAATTCTGCCCACGCGGTGACTAGCTGGCAGTAGGTTTGCAACACTGCCAAGATTGTTCGTCTCGATTTGTCTGGATGGCGGTATCTATATATTCACATTGTTTGCTCCGACTCGAGACCTTCACGGCTGGAAAGAAACGAGTTGCTATATACGCGCCTATAAGGTATTCACACACCGTCTGTGATTACGCTGGCTTAGTCGTATCTGATATGTCTGAGCTGGAGCAAATTACTCTTCGCTAAAGCAGGTTGTAGATGATGAACTGACCTTTATTGTCATACCCAGATTTTTACATGACGAATATCGCCCTTCGTTCAACGAACCCAGAATAAATATCCACTGCGTCACAACTGATCAGTACGGGTCAAATTGTTGATCACTCTGACCTTAGACCCCATAGCCTCACGATAATTGCTATGGAATTTATTTTCGTCCGTATCGGATCCTCACGCCAAATTTAATTAGGAGGGTACTCGCCATTTCAACCTTGAAATTCAATGATCGATGTAATTCTGTCCCTTTCAGCAGTAAAATTGCATAACCAAAAATGGTGGCACAGTCTATGTGGTGTAGGTAGCTGAAGGGCTTTGTATAACAATTATACTTCTCCATGATCCACCACTTTCGCTCAATTTTGAATGATTCAAGAAAGTACGGTCCCGCACCGCGTGCAGACCTTCTTCGAGTCGCACCTGTATCCTCGTCAACAAGACCGTCTAAGGGGCGAGCGAAGCGAGCGGACTGACATGAGGCAGAGCAGGCCACAAGGGAAGAGCAATACTGCAAGAATAATCCCGCACACGCCATACTCCCTCGTAAGCTGATGGTCGCCCCTCGCGCAGCTCGCATACACTGATCATAGCACAGCGTCAGTTGCTTATCCCTAGATGACAATTGGCTCAACACTCACTGGCCTGCTGGTACTGCGCTCCGACTGCAGCCTCCGTGTGAACCTCCTTATTCGCGTTTGGGACAGACATTAGAGTCGAGATGCAAGGATGTACAAGTGGGAGGCTGGTGCTGGGCGTACTAGTACAGCGATGCGCTGCTGCCATCCCCTGAGCGCAGACCTAAACGATACCGCCGATGCGGGCCGTCCGTCTTGTGGCGCCGTCACATGCGCTCATAATAAGTACCTCGATTGAATTTGCTGGCTTGGTAGACAAGCCCACCGCGAATTCTGAGCTAGGTTCGCGTACAAGTTGTCGCTTGTAACGTAGTACTGATCGCATTGGTGAAGTTATCCGGAAGTCGAGGTAAATGTCTTTCCAAGGATATTTTCATGATATGATGCGCTGTGGGAGGCTGTCTGCGGGTGTCCTAGAACAGCGTATAGGAGATGTCCATGGATATTTAGGAGGAACCGCCGCATTGACTCGATCATGGCGCGTCGGTGGCGTGAGAACAATGCGCATGCTGATCGCCCCCCCTCCCCCGATGCGGGCGGCACGCCGAGACCTGGAGCTTACCGCTGCTCCTGTCCAAGGTGTATGATACTACATATAAATCTTTCCCCCTTCATCTAGCAAACACGGAGCAACGGTGGAGTCACAAGGGGAGGCTAGATTATTATTTGTGCACCGGCCGCAGCCCGTGCGCTCTAAAAGCTGTAGTGAAGCAGCGACTTAATCTCGAGTAAGAAAAATAAGAGGTCACAACGAATAATGCAATGAAATCACGAACCCCGTGAGTCTGGACCTTGATAGATTCTCATGGGGCTGGATGAAGAATTGGCTAGGGGTGAATTCATGATAGAAGATCTGGTTGTCTTCGCCAAAGTGATAATTGTCGAGTGTCGTGTTCAAGAATGTATTGATGAATGCGAAAGATGAGATGATGTAATGGCACAGACAAGAAAGAGTCGAAGACGTGTAAACAAGAGGAGCGCACAGTATACGACCGCCAGTGATCCAAATATATTCTCAAGAAGAATCGACCTGACCCCTAACTGGGCTCCTGAAAATGGACCAGACATATAGCATACACGCCGCTCACGAGGGCATAGTGTTGAGGCTGTTCGAGATGTAAGCCCTGTGCCGCTCACATCAATATGTGTGCTACCGTTCCAATGCAGTCCTTACTTCGCCATGCAGGTCAAAGTACCGCCCCAATCATCAGCGATGCATTGCACACAACCATATTCATGGTGATTACCACACAAAACAGGCTGACCTCTGTGAGCTCGATGTAAACAACGTGTCCTTTGAATACTGGATGCGAACCTCACCAAGCCAATGCAGCCAGGATCTGGAATGGCTGGGCTGGGCGCATATATAGTTACCGCACGACTTGAGGTGAAAGACAGAGATAAAACATATCTCATCGCATTATAATCAGTACAAAGCTGCCACAGGCATTCCGCTCTGAACCAGTTCCGTAGGGTAGAGACAAATGGGACCGCGTAGTGTAACCGCTAGGGTATGATGGTCCCGCATCGAGAGCATTTTTTCTCCACGTCGGCGCTGAGGGGACCAGGGTTAATAAAACATACTCTACGAATTGAAGAAGCTCACAAAAGACATAGGAGACCGATGGGGAAGAGCAGGATAGCACTGATAATTCCTATGGGACCGTGCTTTGTAGTCACCTCGTGGTCCCCTCTGGCGCAGCGAGCAAATACTGACCAGCGGTGAACATCTCAAGACGAGCGCAGAAGATAGTCGTTACTCACATTGCTCCTGGTACTGTCGCCCCAGCGCTGCCTCTCTCTCGGCTGGATCAACCTGTGGTTGTGGTGCAGGCTGTGGCTGCGACTGCACAGGTTGGGCGGGCGGTGTTTGGGCCGGGAAGTCAGGTTTCAGCGTGGTGGGAGCCTCTGCAGGTGAGTAGTTTGTTGGGGGGAGTGCCTGCAGGGGCACATCATTTGAGGATGCTTGCCAATCGTACGGCGGAGGTTGTGAGTCGGGCTGAGATTCCGTTGCTTTGATGTCGATCATGAGTAAATAAGGAGCGAATGACGGGAGATGGTGGCGGCGGGAGAGCAGGAGGCTCGACGGCCTTGTTGCCGCAGGGTGGGGATGACAATGGTGAGGGCTGCATGTCGGGTGGCGGTGCGGACAACATCAAGTCCGCAGCGGGTCCAGCTCGCTCGCATGCCGCACTCGGCATCTCTGTGCGTCAGCCGGGTAACGTACAACTCCTTTTCACGTGATTTTAGCGCTTAATCAAATTGCATTTCATGGACGGCCGCTTGCCAACTGGTAATGCCCTTTCAGCCGTCCACCGGCATGTTCTACTAGTATTCATACAGCTGCTAATACAAGCTAACGTACAATCCATGCGAAGCCAGATTTACTCAAGGGCTTCGCGGACATATTCCAGCCTCTTAATATAGGTATCTGAAGCCCTTCTTTCGCTCGAGGGCCTCTTCGAAGGTCAACCCTTCCAGCCGTGCGGCCTCCTCTATACGTTCTCTCGCGTCTCCTTTGAGGATTTCGAGCTCTTTACGGTCAAGCAACTTGTTCTGGTGCACGAGCATGCAACGAACCACTGCACTCTGCGTTAGCGGCTGCGGCATAGAACATAACCCTACACATACCAAATGCAAGGAACGTTGCAAACGCTAGTGCAGCAATCCCAATGTACATCGAGGGATGGTAATCCGGACTCCATTGCGTTTGCCATGTGTAAGAAGCAATGCTGTCAGTCCAATGGTAAGCACATAAGCAGGCTGAGTCTGCATGACACGCACAGGTTACCAATGTTTCCAAAGCCGTTGACTATGCCAATAGCAGCAGACCGTTTGGCGGGAGGTCGTGGTACCGCATTAGCGACCCAAACACACGTTAGCGCGAAACCTGTAGGTCAATATACGTCAGCATCAAAGTCGTAGCAGGCATTAGCTTCTCGTATCTGTACCTGCATAGCCAGAAGCCATGAGGAACATCGCCACGTATCGGCCACCGATGGACATAGTAGAGACACCGATGATGTACCCGACAATAACACCCCACCAAGGCCAACACTGGTGGAAGAAGCGTTCGCCGGTCCGATCTGAATACATGTGCGCGCGTGAAGACGGGACATCCAGATGTATCATGCAGATCATACCTGCGTTCCACGCGTTCGCAACACACGCAATCGTAGCAAATATCCATGGAGGGCTGTGCGATGCGCGCGTCAACGTCTATATACATAAGCCCTGACTGAATTGCACTTACACACAGAGCAGAAGAGTGATCGTCGTTGAGTAGCCCATGGTACCAGCAATCCTAATCAACGACGGTCAGTCTCCCTCGTGTTCCATAACTCTCGCTACTCACGTCGGGAAGAAGTTAATGAATCCCAGACCAAGCAGCTGCGAACAGCACATAACAGCCATGATGGGAACCTTAGGGTCCTTGATGGCCATCTTCAAGCCCACCAATGCTCTGATTATTGACATCTGTCAGCGCAGACTCATACGCAAGCTATACACGTACGATTCATGACTGCCATCCTCATCAGCCTCTCCGGCGTCCTCCGCAAGACGCACTTGAGCTAATCTGCGTTGTTCTGCGGATAGCCACCGAGTATTATGTGGCTGAAAGAGTGTCAAGAAAAAATATTTAGATCATGGGGCACCACATACATAGTCTGGGAGCAAGAAGCTAAATAATTCGATAAGTGATATTGTACGGGAACAAAAGCGCAACACTCACGCTGCGATGAACCCGATGCAGATTGTGACGCATCCCTATATTATCACGTCACTACTGTCTCTGGGACCAGTGACACATCTGCGCTCTCATACCTCAATGTAGAATAGCCTTGGACAAAACAGCGTCAATTTTTGGCGGCGTGTTTCAGAGCTAGTCAGCTCACCATCTCCAAGCCGCAATGCCACGCTTGTCCTGCATCCCTGAGAGGATTCCTGCAGCGATCAACTGAATGACTAGTAAGTGTATGGTTCTCCTAGTTTATGTAGCTGCACTGACACTACCGAACGCGTTAGATATCAATAGACCGCCATAGATAATGGCGCCGCGAAACGCGAGCTCCTATATAGAGCATATGAGATCATTTATATTCGCGAGCGTGGTGATACGTACCTTCCGAGTGTACCATCGCGATAGGAGATATATTGCGCCAGGGTAGAATGCCGCCTGAAACACGCATAAGGAAGTCAATGTTTGACGGCTTCGAAAAAGCAACACAAGTACCTCCGGAAGACCAATGAAGACACGGCACACCAAAATTCCTGCGTAATTTTGTGTTAACTAGAACGGGGCTCGGTCATCGATAAACATACAGAGCTAAACGTGGAACGCTTACCCCAGTGCAGGCACTGGTAACGCCCCACAGAACGACGCAAAGAGGGATATAGTATGATGGTCTGAATAATGCCAAGTTAGGGCATGTCCACCGCAAGTGCCACCGTACCATACCTAGAAATGCGGTTCAAAATCTGCGCAAGTAAGCTTAATGAATAGATATGCAGTCAATTAATGTGCCTACCATGTTGGATGGAATCTGTGCCGGGACGTATGATGCGTATAGAATAGCAATGACCGTGTTGTATTGTAGATCTAAAGCCAGACGTCAACCGTCAACCAGAGATCGTTCATAGCGTAAAATTAGGTCGGAACCTGAGAGGTGTAAATCTTGCGTCATGCCTTGCAACCTCGCCGCGGTCACAGCCACACGCTGTACGCCAAGGTCCTTAGAGTTGCATCAAATGAAGCAGGTGAGATGCTCACGTCGATATAATTCATGATGAAGATGACAATGATCGTAGGCAGCAGTCTCGAGTCCAAGATCCGCACGAGCTTGCGCTCAGCTGAGGGTCGTATGCTGGGGTCCAGAAGCCGACCATCTTGTTCTTGATTTTGGAGTGATACTGCGGGGGACCGCTGCTCGATGAGTGCGACGTCCTTCTCGTTATGTCCAGCGCTGTCCGAATCCTTCGTCGACATTTTGAGAGGCGCTACCGAGTCTCAAGGGAAGAAACTCTAAGGGACCACACACACAAGCTCGACGATAAATATCCTCTGCGGGGGCCCGACGGCAGACAGGAAGATCATTTGTGCATAAACCGAAGGACGACTCGTGACCAGTGTTCTCCACGGAGAAGACAGACTTGTGGCGGGGAGCACCACAGAACGGGAACATAACATGACTGAATTAGTGCTATCACGAGGTGGCAGTCAGGCTGCATCCTCGATGCGTATCTGACTGTGTGATAAATCGTACGAATTGAGGCCGTAAGAATCGCTTGCGCAGACCCTGTCGCTGGCTATAGACCTAGTCCTCATGCCAAATTGGAAGTTGTAAGCACCCAGTGGGCCGTATACGGCGAGAGACGTCCAGTGTGGAGCAAGGAAGTCGGCGAATTTGGGTTATGCACCGGGACGGGAGACGCCTGTGGCCACCAACCAGATGTGAGAACAATGCTGGCTTCGCCAGGAACGACACCTGCATGACCACTCGCCAACGGCATTCCAGGACATCTGTATTGACTTCTAGTCGACCGTCCTCCGCCAAGAAGCGCCACCCTACCCCAGGATTAGATCCGAGAGATCAACCGAGATTCGAAAATGGTCACCTGCTCACCTCGGGTTCGCGGCTAGAGATGAAGGATGCAGTCTGCAGACGAGGCGCCATCCAAACAGCGCCGCGGGTTACGACATAGTGTGGGGTAAATAAGCCGCCTCGCGTTACAATGTTACGAGGGTCAACATACTTTCTCGACACTGCGTAGCGAGAGTATCATTGCTACGAGGCGATGGCCTCGTTGACGGAGAATGGAGGGACACGGGGTCTTCGAGGCAGGACTGCCCTTGTTCCTATCCTGATAGATCCAGACCATTCGGAAGCATCTTCGAAGCATGTGCCCGAAAGCCGTACTGTCAACATATCCGCGTCGGGGAAACATCCTGGACGGGCGCGAACATCCCGACTGTCAACGTCAATCGGAAACAGTGATCATGATCTTTGAATTCAGAGATTGTGATGATCGCCGACGCCGCCCTCGCGAACCCGAAGATTGTGCCCGACGCTCCAAGGGCGTAACCTTCCAACGGCATCTAAAACCCGCGAAGAGCTCGGTGAGAGACCCTGGCTAAGAATACCGCGAAAGTGGACGTTGGCGGAACAGGGATGGACGCAAGCTCCGTTATAGACAGCCTCAGGACGAAGAATAGAACGTGTGATCCTGCAGGTTCGCAAGTGTAGGCTCATGCGCCCTGAAGAATAAGGAGCTGACAATTCTTCTCAAGCTCTGACACGATGCAAATTGTGACCGACGCATTCTTCTAGTGAGATACGATGTTGCATTCCCATGCTGACACCCTCGTTCACCCTTTCCGAAAGCTGCTGGTCATGAAACGATAAGCCTTACTCTGGGGTAGAACTGAAGGCACTACCTCGGCGAGATGGGTACCCACCATAGCACCGCCGATGAGCACAGCGGTGATGCCTGCCGAACGGCAGAGCGCAACGTGACGACCTGCTTGTAATGCGATGATGAGTGAAGTATCAAAAGCACCACGAATGCCGTAGAACCTATGGAATAACACCACGTACCATTGGAGTGGTGAGACTCCTGCCACACGACGATCGGTCATGAATGTGATGATGAGAACAGAGGTGGGCTGGAACTCTACGCGAATAATTGAATAGAGAAGACCAATTGAAATACTTGATTCCATGAGAATACCAATAGAAGACGTCTACAATGATATACGGTCATGCTGTAGATCGCTGATCTGGCGCAGTCCCATATCCAGAAGTCATTGTGGGCGGACGGTCTCGACGAACCTGACGGTAGGAGATGTCGATGACTTTTCCTTGCTGCTGCGTGCAACGATGTGAGATACATAATACACTTTGATTACGGCTGCAGACAGTCTATGTTTACCAACAGCACGCCGAAGGCACTGGTCTACCTGAACTCCGGGATGATATCGCTCCCTTTCCCCTTCGTCAGGTAGTCTCTCAGGTTCGAGAGTGCTCTTATCTCCATCTTCTTCTGCGAATCGCACGTTTCGGTGCCCATATGTGGCAGAAGTGTCGCATTCTTGAAATCGAATAGCCGCGGGTTCACTTGCGGCTCATCTGGATAGACGTCCAGACCAACCGCCGATAACTGGGGTGGTCATCAGTATCAAAGGAACCCCATAGAATAGCAAAAACATACGTGGCCGTCTTCGAGTGCTCTAATCATCGCTGCCTCGTCGATAACCTTCCCCCGCGCCGTATTGACAATCACCGCACCAGGTTTCAGCTTACGGATCATCGCCTCGTCTACCAAGTGAACCGTGTCGTCACGCAGTGGCACATGTACGCTCAGCACATCTGCCTCTGCCAACATCTCGTCGAGGCGGTCAGCGCCGTAGTACTCGCACCAGTCGGGTACGTGAGCGACTTTGTGTCGATTGTGATAAATGACCCGCATTGGGAACGCGTGTACAAACTCTGCCAGCCGCAGACCTATCCCACCCAGTCCCAGGATGGCGATCGTGTGTCCCGTTAAATCATGAGCCTCGCCTGCGGAGTGCGTCGTCTTCCATGCTCCTGCGCGAACAGAGCGTTCGGCCCTGGAGAAGCACCGCAGGGCGGAGATGAGCAGGTAGAGCGCCGTAGTTGCGGTCGCATCGTCAACAGCACCTGGGGTGTTCGAGACGAAGATACCTGAATATCAGGACATCAGACACGAAAGACCACGGACGACAACTCTCCCTACACTCACCTTTCTCTTTGCAATAAAGGACGTCTATTTGGTCGTATCCAGCGCCGTTGTGCGCGATCCACTTCACTCCGGTTGCCGCGAGGCCGTCGATTATCTCCTTATCAAACACGCCTATGCGGTCCGTCGACACGTTGTGCCTATACAATCCAGTGATGCCTTCGTACTTTCCTCCAGGCTGAAGACTCGTGAGGAAATCGGCTCGGTCGGACGAGTCCATGCGCTTGAGGATAGAATGGACGGTGAAAACCGCGAAAAGGAACTTGAATGAGCCACAAACTTACGACTACCTCTGCAATGCCATTCAACAGCTCCTCGCACTCCTTGTGAGCCCATACCAAATCACCTACAGCACGGATCAATCGTCAATGACTGATATAATGGCAAAATCGGTCAGCACTGACCGCATATCATAACACGAGTCATCATGCGCTCTGGTATACAGTTGTCGATAATACACAAACCGCCGTCGGCGCACGGTCAAGGATTTTATATCGCGCCCAGAGAGTAGTCGGTCCGTCGCCGGAGTCCCGATAACGATGCTACGATGAGGATGGGTGTGAACTCGACGCTTGTGACCTCTTCGGCGGTCCGCAGCCGCCGCAA